TGTCAGGCCTGCTGTTTATCAACTGCGTGGCCTTAGTCAGTTTCCTCTCAATATATGGAAAAATGGGTGTTACAGACTGAATTGTGTTTCCCCAAAGTTTACGCATTGAAGCCCTAGACCCCAACGTGACTGTATTCGAGGATAGGGCCTTTAAAGAGGTCATTAAGGTTAAATGAGGTCATAAGAGTGGGTCCCTAATCTGGTGTGACTGGCATCCTCATAAGAGGAAGAGACACCAGGGACACACATGCATAGAGAAGAGGCCATATGAGGACACAGTGAGAAGTCAGCTGTCTGTAAGCCAGAGAGGCCTCAGGAGAAACCAAACCTGCCAACACCTTGATCTTGGACTTCTAGCCTGCAGAACTGTGAGAAAATAAATTCCTATTATTTAAGCCCCCCAGGCTGTGGCATTTTGTTATGGCAGCCCGAGCAGACTGGTAGAATGGGTATAACAGCACCTCTTAGGAGTGTGGTTAGGATTACACATGGCTAATGCAGTGCATGGTTCCCAGCAACCACTCAATAGATGGAAGCCATTATTTGTGGTTCAGAAAGAAGAGAAGGAAAATGAAAGCGCAAGAAAATCAGTAATCATTTAAAATGTACCATATGCCAAGCACTTTGCATAAAGTACTTAATTTAATAAACATAACGATCCTGTGCAAACCATCCATATCTTGCAAGTGAAGAAACTGAAGCCTAAAAAGCTTAGTTTGTCTAAAGTCACATAGAAAGTGGCAGAATCAGGAATCTGGCTTTAAAATCTGTGTTCTTTCCACCATGCCATGCCACCTATGAGAGAAGCTTCCTAGATGCTGAAGGTCATTAATGAAAGAGATGCCCTCTAGATGATTTCTGTAGGAGACGCTCAGCAAGGGGGTTGGCTTCTGTTGTAGGAGTATATTCCTGCCCACACACAATTGTTCACTCCCACATCCAGCCGGGCTGCACAGATGCCTGCCGTCAGCGTCAAATATCCTCTGAAAACAGACTTTTTAATCTGCTCAAGCACTTGAACCCAGTATTCACTTAACACTCTAGAGCTCTGTGCCAAAGGCATGAGGCCAGTTTGGCCTAGGGATGGTAAGGCATGTGTTAACCATCAGCTGGGCCCTTCCTCACCATGCCTGGTTTGGGGAGAACTGTGTATAGACAGACACGTAGACAGATGCCTGGGCCAGGATAAGGTCACTGCAGAATGTAACCCTGATTGGCCACGTGGATGACTGCCCACGTGTGAGATCATTTTATATTCTACTTTAACCGCGGACGGTGTCTGTCAAGTGAAATGATTGTATTGGGCATGTAGTTACTACTCAATTGTTCTTTCCAACAGTAAGTAGCCAATGGAATCACTGTGTTTTAAGACCACTCCCCATTAATGAGGAAAACCTGTAGTTAGTACAGCTGTTTCTCTTCCCTTTTACCATGGCATGTCAGTTACATTTAAACCTTTAAACAATAATTTAAGACTATTTTTTGAGTGGTTTTAGGTTTACAGCAAAACCGAGAGGAAGGTACAGAGATTTCCCATGTACTCCTTGCCCCTGCACATGCATAGTTTCCCAGTTATCAACATCCTCCACCAGAATAGTATTTTTTTTTTTACCAAGGATGAAACCTACATTGACACATTATAATAATAACCCCAAGTCCATAGTTTACCTTAGGGTTCACTCAGTGTTGTACATTCTGTGGGTTTGGACAAATGGATAATGATATACTTTCATTGTTGTAATGTCATACAGAGTATCTTGACTGCCCTAAAAATCCTCTATGCTCTGCCTGTTCATCTCTCCCCTCCATCACCCCTGGCAACCACTGATTCTTTATCTCCATAGCTTTGCCTTAGTTACACTTAAATTTAAAATAAGACTAGAAAGCAGCCCTTTTTATGCTAATTGAAACTGAATTTAAGATTTATGGAAAGCCATGAGTCACTCAAGTGGAGCTTCATTACACTGTTCACTCTGATTTTGTGTATGTTTGAGATTTTCCATAATAAAAAGGTTTTACAAAACAAGATTGACACTGGAAAACATTATTTCAACCCTGCTTCTAACATTAATGTCATGGATTCAAACTTTGAAAAAGATTCTAAGATACGGATAAAATTACTCATGTGTTTCAGTTTGTGAAATCAAAGGCCGAAAAGGATGGATGACTGCTACCAAATATCTTAGGTATTGCTTAAATTTATCTGGGAAAGATCATCAGTAATGCACCCAGCGTCCATTGGTTTCTTGTACAAGTGTGGCAGATGCTATCAGAACCCCATGACATATCCTGTCAGCACCTCCCACTTCAGGGGCACGCCCCTGGCTTCCAGTGTCTGACACCCATCACTCTCTACTTGACCTTCCTCTGGTCCTTAGAGACAGTTCTGTCTCCACTAGCTAGGGACAGGCTTCCAGTGGCAGGGAATCAGAGCTCTGTGGGAGCCTCCCACATCCACTGACTGAAGGGAGCTGATGGATCAATATCTTAGAGCTCTCTTTCCCTTCAAGCCACATACCTCTGAGGCTCTTGTACTGCATTTTTTTCCCAGAATGCCCCCAATAGGTTTAGCTTTGGTTTCCCAAAGTGGCAACTTGCTGGGAAACGTATCCTGCATTAGCTTCTTTCTCTTCTCTGTCTCACTTCCCCAATTCCCTGCCAGTGTTCTGTGGAATCACCTCTCAAATGCACTTCCTGAATCCTTGTCTCAGGATCTGCTTCTGTGAGAATTCAAACTAAGACAGCAAGAAACCAAGTTGGGAGACCCAGCCTGCAACTAGTTGAAGAAAAATTTCATAGAGGATTTTTGAAAGTTGTAAATTGAAGCAGTGTTTGGGTTAATAAAGGGTTTTTTCCCTTTTTAAAAAAGTAAATTACACATGAATCTCTCCCATGGAGCTGATGCAAATAGATAATTTGGTAAGGATTGGGGCCTGTGACCCCAATATTTAGGGAAAAGTCTAAAAGAATTCTTGGGATAAGGTTTTTTTGGTGGGATTTTTTTTTAACTTTAGATAATTGATCAAATAGATTGCAGTGGGTGGAATCACATAATCCCAACTAGAAATGTGCCAACTGAATAAATGTTCAAGGTGAGAAGTGAGGGGCAGATTTAGTTGGAAATTTAGTTGTTAAGCCTGTTACGACAACCCATCTATCTAATGGTAGAAGGATCAAAGTAAAAGGCTAGGTTCCATACATAAATGTAAACCTTCTTTTTCTGTCTGTGTTTTCAGTTGAGTAGAATATTTTTAGTCAGTATCATTTGTAAATTCGCGTCATCAGAAATGCCAAACTTAGTTTTATAAACTTTTTATTTTTGACTGCCATCTAGTTTTGTTAATATGAATGAAAACTTTGTGTTTAGGCTTATCCCAATTTTAATTTCTTTGAGGTATCTTGGATGTTGGGTGAGGTAAAGGCAGGAGCCTGGAATGCCTATTCCCAGGTTTCTCATTTAACTTCCTGCGTTGATTGTGGTGCCATTAAACAGGGTAGGGAATAAATGATAAAAGACTTGGTTTGGGGTTGGAAGAGATAACGGCTTGTAATTGAAGGCTCTGTGGACCATGGAGGGGCTGATGTCTGTTAGGAATACAATGTCTTATGCATGGCTTGCAGGAGAGCTAAACTGTCTGTTCCCTGCTTTCGTGTCCAGCCACATCTGACTGCACTCTCTTTACTCTCGGTTGGCGCTGGCTGTTCCCTCTGGCTTGAAAACCTTTTTGTACCCTTCCCCCTTCATCACCCAGGCAACTCCTGTGTGAATGCCTTCCATGACAGAGCACTCAGGGTTCAGAAAGGGAGCTCTGGAGCCGGCCTGTCTACACGTAAACCTCAGCTCCACCCTTCCCTGCTGTGACCTTGGCCTTAGCTGTCAGTTTCCTAAGACAATGGAGATAATATTCGAACACTTCATAGGACTGTTAAGAAGATTAAATGAACTAGACATTTAAAGCACTTAAACAGAGCATGGCACATAAAGTATTCTCTAAATCTTGGCTGTTACTCTTAGTTGCTATCTTGTAAGACAGCCCATATCATCTTCTATTGAAAAAATTTTTTTGAAGATTTGTAATAACAGTCTTACCAAAAAGTGCCAGTTTAAAACAATGACTGTTCTGGTCTTTTGTAAATCTTACAACCAACAACTGTTTTCAGTAATTTTTACTAGGCTTTTTTCCTTTCTTAAAGATTAAACCTTTAAGTCACTTTTTTTTGTGGATTGCCGTAATCTGTATACGCCTGTGTTTACTTCATTGTTTTCTTAAGCATTTCCTGATATTTGAGCAAATGGATTATTTCCAATTTTTTTATTATTCTGGTTGGACCTGTTTGAGGAGCTTTTTCCTGTGAGTTAATTGCTTGGAATTTTTCTGAAAAGTGAAATTTGAGTCAAATTTTATTTTTATACCTTTTATTATAAATTTCTCCAAATGTGCTCTAAAATGTTCCTATAATCTGTTATGTATCTATTAACCATTATAAGTACTAACATAGAAATTTAGGAGTGTATGCATAATTGTCCTCCTTAAACTTTTGAATATAAATTATAATATATGAAACATTTAGGAAGCTGAAAACAATGTCCTTGTGGCTGAGATCAAGGGAACATGAAGTTTTACTTTTTCTAACATGAATTACTGTAATTTTAAAAATTGACTTGGCAATAATTAAGTAGCCATAGACCTATTTAAATTTAAATTAAAACAATCTGTTAACTTTTTGATGTACTGCACATAGTTTAGTTCCTAAGAAAAATAACCCATTAAGAATGAAGCTGTTAAATAAACATGATGGGTTTATTTTCAATGCAATACTATTCCCTGCTTATATTTTATCATACTTAAAAGAATATTTCATAGCACAATTATAACTAGTATAAATAGTCAGAAATTTAAGAATTTATTCATAATGATTCAAATGCTTTTTTAAATTTAATCTTTTTTGAATTTTGAGTTATAATTGACAAATGCTCTTCTTTTAAACTTTTGAACTAGATCATAGAAAATTCTGTACTATCCACTGCACTGGTTACTTGAGAAGCTGGCCTCCAAGTATGGTTGGAATGGAAGAAGAAAGGGACAATAAGAAAGACAGTAGTAATTTTACCTGCCTTGTTGCCATTGGAAGATTACATCCATGTATTGTCCCACAGAACAGTGGAGAGATTAAAGTGAAACCAACTGAATTTATAACCCGTTTTACAATGAATGGAAAATTTGTCTATGTGGATCAAAGGTAGACATCGACATGCCATAATGATTAGAGTTCAATGGATATTTAAGGCTATTAAAGATGTGGCTTAGTAGCACTGCTGGATTTTTTTTTTAAGGCTTCAGAACAGCAAATAAAGCTTGAATGAAATAGGGATATGGATATATGAATAAATTTGTTCAAGCCAAAATGTAAACTTGGAATATTTCTTAGCCAGTGGTGCAGAAACTGGGCATGGTCTGTGGCCACAGTGTTATTGGGGTATTGGTATTGGTATTGGTATTGGTATTGGTGGGTGGCCACTGGCGTAGCCTCGTGCTTGGGTGTCCATTCTGTCTTGCAGCCTAGTCTGGGTCTATGGCAGCCAAAGGGAGCCCAGTGATGCATGTGGGTTACTCATCCCCTGGTCCACCTCCCTACTAGCCTGCCCACATGTGGGTTCTGGAAGGGAATACATTCATCATTTCTGAAGTTTATTTTCCATTTTAAAACCAGGACAACAGCAATTTTAGGATATCTGCCTCAGGAACTTTTGGGAACTTCTTGTTATGAATATTTTCATCAAGATGACCATAGTCATTTGACTGACAAGCACAAAGCAGGTATGCATTGAGTGGGGTAATTTTTTGGTACTTTTTAGTTACAGCTTCAGCTGTTAATTTCTCAATCCTGAGAAATCTGAAACTTGAATTAATCCTCGAGGGATCGATTTATATGGCGTAGACTGTTATGCTGATTATTATCTTTTCTTGTTAAGTTCTGCAGAGTAAAGAGAAAATATTTACAGATTCATACAAATTCAGAGTGAAAGATGGCTCTTTTGTAACTTTAAAAAGCCAGTGGTTTAGTTTCACAAATCCTTGGACCAAAGAACTGGAATATATTGTGTCTGTCAACACTTTAGTTTTGTAAGTAATTTTTTATATTGGTAAGAACTTTATATTAATTTCAAATGAGTATCTTTGCTTCCCTCTTCTCATCTTTCGAAGCCATTAAAACTGTATGATCCTCAGGCTTTATAATTTGAGTATATATTTTGAGTAATTCATTCACTGTTCATTGCGTTAGTTCTTAGAATTAAGCTAGAAGTTTGCTCTTTTGTAATAAATTCCTTTTTGCTTGGTATAAAATGTGATAGTAAACATTTACTCAAGCATTTCCTTCCTACCTTTCATGGCCTTGTCTTGTCCCTCCAACAAACAGTGTGGATGTGGCTTGAAACTGTGTATCATTGTAAGAAATTGTTTTATCCTCTACATCATTTTTGCATGTCCGTCTTCTAAGCCTGGGTACCACATGTGATTGTGCAGGAGGACTTGGCTGAGGGATGAGCAGAAATTCAGGCCAACTACTGTTTGCCAAGCCCTGGGCTGTGGCTGTGTCAGCCTGAAGGAAGAGCCAACTTTTCCTGAATTGCTCAATATGCTAGCATGGCCCTGTTTCAAGCATTATTTTTCTATAAGTTTCTCTTTGAAATCGCTATAAGGTATCATCACACCAATTCTATTTCCTTATCCACAATATTTAGTTAAAAAAAAAAAGAGCCCCAAAGCTTAGTACCTCCAGCAGCATCCCCTCTTCCCCATCCCAATAATCCTTGCCTTCCTATCATTAGTATATGAACCGTAACTGTGAGAATATGTGCTTTATAGGGTAATAGGGTATTTGTCAAACCCTGCTATGTAGCATATCAGTACCTTGATGTCTGGTTGTGGCATTAACAATGTGTATATAAAACAGATGGATCAAGACTTGAGAAATCAAATGCACGAAACTTAATGTAGTTGTTTCCTTTACCTTAAAAAAAATCACCTATGATGTGTCTCCATTCTAGGGGACATAGTGAGACTGGAGAAGCATCATTACTTCCTTGCAGCTCTCAATCGAAAGAAGGTGAGCTTAGTTCTGGATGAGGGAGACTTCTGACTAAGACTGTTATTATTGTCTTCTTTCTCTGTCTTGGAGAGGGAAAAATTTAAAGGTGAAATTGAAAAGACATCTATGGGTTGAGTTATCCTTCTCAGAATTCCCACAGTACTTGGTCACGTTTTAGTTATAATCCTACATTGTATTGCAATTAGTTGTTCACTCAACTGGCTCGCCAAGGCACTGAGTTCTTCAGGATCAGGAGTGGTGTTTTATCCATTATCTATCCCTAGCAGCTAGCATAGTTCCTTATACTTTATGGCATTCAAATATCTGTTGGACAAATTAATGAAAAGCATTAAGGGAGAGTTTTTTCTTATCTTAGTTTTTCACCACAGGAGTATTTTAATCTATTATTTGTATAAATAAATACAAAAATATTAGGAAGTATTAAAAATAAAGTAGTGTTGCTCTGGCTTCAGTGTGGAGATTAAAGTGGGAAGGAACTGTCTGAACTAAAGGGTTATAGGTCATGATTGTACCCTCAATGACTTTCCACACATTTGATTCATATCACTCTTCATAAGCATCTTAAGCCATCGTGAGTTAAGTTTGTAACGATAAGTATAATGTTCCTAACATTTTAGGATGCAGCTAGTCTATTTCTTTTAAAGAGGGAAATAGGAAATATATTGGAACTGAAAGAAAGATCTTAACCAAAGTTGTATACATTTTTCAAAGTCCTCAATTGATTTTTTCCTTTTGTTATTACTTAGAATCTTCCAGACAGTCTTGTATTAGTGTGCCCAGAATGTGCACTGGAACAGTACTTGGTGCTGGTAGTATCGGAACAGATATTGCAAATGAAGTTTTGGACTTACAAAGGTAATGTTTTACTGCTGCAAATATTTTTACAAGTAAAATTATCATCATATTTACAAAGACAAAATTTAAAAAATCAGTAGAGGATGGGTGAAATAGGTGAAGGGGATTAAGAGGTACAAACTTCCAGATGTAGAATTAATAAGTCATGGGGATGTGATGCACAGCATAGGGAACATAGTGAATAATATTGCAATACCTCTGTATGGTGACAGATGGTAACTAGACGTTGTGATGATCATTTTGTAATGCATCTAAATATCAAGTCACTATGATGTGCACCTGAAACTAATAGGATATTGTATGTCGATTGTACTTTAATTTTAAAAAATCAGTAGATTTCTTGAATGCAAACAATAACCAGTTCAATAATATAAGAGAAGATCATCTTTACAGTAGCAACAAAAAAGATAAAATATTTAGGTATAAATTTTACAAGAAGTGTCCAGAACTATATGACAAAAACCTTTAAAATGCTACAGAGGTACACAAAAGATGACTTGAGTAACTTTCCAGATATAAGTTTTCATTGGGAAGACTCAGTATTGTGAGGATGTCAGTGTTCCTTAAACCAACCTATGAATTCAATGTGAATCCAGTCAAAATACCATCATGCATTTGTCTTTTAGGATCTGACAAATGATACTAACCATATTAGGATATCCAGGAAAATTCTAAAAAATAAAAGTAATAAAATGAGACTAACTCTATCAAATATTAAAATATGTATAAAGCTACAGTCACTAACACATTTTGGTACAACCCACAAGTAGGTTAATGTAAAAGGATAGATTTCAGAAAGACTCAAATGCACATGGAAATTTATTATATGGTACAAGGGGCGTCAGTAAGAGGAACTGGATTAAACAGTTAAGAGCATTATAATAACTTTGTAACCATTTGGGAAAAAATTAAGCTATACCCAAGTTTATTCTTTATACGAAAATAAATTCTAGGTAAATCCAAGAGTTCAAAGTAAAAGTATTTTGAAATACTATAAAATATTTAAGTTAAGTAAAAGTATTTTGAAATACGATAAAAGTATTTCAAGAACACAGGTATGGATTTTTATTTAGTTTGGAAAGTCCTTTCTAAACACTGCACAAAATCCAGAATTCATTAAGAAAAAAATCGATAAATTTAGTTATATAAAATCTCAAAACTTAAGCATAATTATAACCATTATAACTAACAAGGTTAAAAGACAAATTATAAACTGCAGAAAATATGTGTATTTCATATGATAAAATGCAGTAATTATATTAACCTTTACCTATATTAAACTTTAGTATAAATAATATAGTTATTAAACAAGCTTTATATAACTTGAATTAAAATAACTCAATTTAAAAAGTTGGAGACTGGTCCTGAATATAAAAAAGTACAAATGGCCAAGAAACTTTAAAAATTGCTCAACTCCATTCACAGTTAAAAAATATATATACATATAGGGGCTGGCCTGGTGGCGTAGTGGTTAAGTTCGCACACTCTACTTCAGCGGCCCTGGGTTCACTGGTTTGGATCCCAGGCATGAACCTACACACCACTTATCAAGCCATGCCATGACAGGCGTTTCACATATAAAATAGAGGAAGATAGGCACTGATGTTAGCTCAGGGACAATCTTCCTCAGCAAAAAGAGGAGGATTGGCAGCGGATGTTACCTCAGGGCCAATCTTCCTCAAAAAAAACAAAACAAAAAATGATAGATATGTGTAGATCTATGTGAAGAAGTGTATACACAGGCCCTTAATTGCTCATCTCAAACCCTTGAGACCAGATAAGCTTTGAACTCAGAATTTCTTTGGATTTTAGAAAGATAGCGTTTTGAAATTCAATTTTTTTAAGGGGTTTGTATAATACCCTCAGAGAACAGTTACATCATGGGCAGCACCCCATAATAAATTAAGTCAATATTTCTGCAAAGAGAAATATTTACAGATTACATGGTAGGATGTCTGGGAGGAGAGGGGGAATAAGAGTTTGGGATATATACATTAAACAAGATTAGGAAAGAATTAATTGTTGAGGCTGTCTGGTGAATATATGAGACTTCATTACATTATCTACTTTTATATCTGTTTGAAGTTTTCCATAGTAAAAGTTTAGAAATATATTTCTGGAGTGCATTGTTGTAAATATTTGTACTAAGTAGGGCAAAGCAGGACAAAAAGATTAGCCTCATGTCAGGTAGGTTACGTTTTGCTGAGTTCAGATCAATTCAGATTTTGTTGCCAAATAAATTATGGAAAACTTTTCAGTTTTCAAGGCATTTTAGATTTTGGAATTGTAGAGAAGGAACCTAGAACTCCACAATATATAGCAATATGAAAAATTTGTTCAGACTAGTTATTTCTCACATTTGGGACTAGGAGTTGAAGGGCAGGAGATTTGGAAGAGGGAAGAAATTTTTGTTTTTTATTTTCTACCCTTTGTACAGTTTGAATTTAAGTTTTTAAATTTAAAAAAGTTTAAATTGAAAAAATCACTGTTGAGACATTTGTCGTGTGACTTCTGTATCCCTAATTTTATTGAATATTGAATACTTACGATGTGCCATGTACTTTAAGTATTGAAAGTATTGTAAAGCATATGCACAAAGATATGCACATATGATCCATCATACACTTTGATCATAAGTCTCTTCACAATGCTTAATATGTAAAACTGACAGTACCATTTGCTATATTACTAAAGGATCAAGTGTGTGGTTTGCATGTTTTCGGCATTTAATCTTATACTGTCTCTCACTATAGGATCCAAGTTTCCTTCCAGATTTTACAACTCAGTGACCTAGGTAATGAAAACAATTATATATGGGAAGGGCATTTTCTTTTTTAATCGTGATAAAATATAGATAACATAAAATTTACCATTTTAACCATTTTTAAGATTACAGTTCAGTAACATTAAGTACGTTTACATTGTTGTGCAGTCACCACCACCACGCATCTCTAGAACTTTTGTCATCTTGCAAATTGAAACTCTGTACCCATTAAACAATAAGTTTCTATTCCCCTCTCCCCCTATCCACTTTCTGTCTCTATGAATTTGACTATTCTAAGTACCTCGTATCAGTAGAATCATAGTGTTTGTCTTTTTGTGACTAGTTTATTTCACTTTTCATACCACATTTTCTTTATCCATTCATCTGTCAGTGGACAACTGGGTTGCTCCCACTTCATGGCTATTGTGGATAATGATGCTAGGAGTGTGGGTGTGCAAATATCTAGTCCCTGCTTTCAGTTCTTTGGGGTATATACCCAGCAGTAGAATTGCTGGATCACATGGTAATTCTATTTTTAATTTTTTGAGGAACCACCATTCTGTTTTCCATAGCATTTGCAGCATTTTACATTCCTACCAGCAGTGCACAAGGGTTCCAATATCTCCACATCCTTGCCAACACTTATCTTTTTCGATGATCATCTTCCTAATTTGGTTTGAAGTGGTATCTCATTGCAGTCTTAGTTTGTATTTCCCTGATGATTAGTGATGTTGAGCATCTTTTCATTTGCTTATTGGCCATTTGTATGTCTTATTTGGAGAAGTATCTTATTCAGGTCCTTTGCCCATTTTTTCATCAGGTTGTTTTTTGTTGAGTTGTGGGAGTTCTTTATATATTCTAGATATTAACCCCTTATCAGATATATGGTTTGTAAATATTTTTTCCAGGTTCATGAATTGCCTTTTCATTCTGTTGATAGTGTCCTTTGATATACAAAGGTTTTTCATTTTGATGTAGTCCAGTTTATCTTTCTTTTGTTGTGTGTGCTTTGGTATCATACCTAAGAAATCACTGCCAAATCCAAAGTCATGAAGCTTTTCCTCTGTTGTCTGCTAAGAATTTTATAGTTTTAGGTCTTGATCCATCGTGAGTTAATTTATTTATAAGGTAAGAGTCCAACTTGCTTCTTCTGCATGTGGGTATCCAGTTTTCCCAAATTGTTTGTTGAAAAGACTGTCCTTTCCCCCATTGAATGATGTTGGCACCCTTGTTGAAGATCATTTGACCATATATGCTGGAAGGGCATTTTAAGAGCAGTGGAAATTCAGGGGCTGGCCCCGTGGTGCAGCGGTTAAGTGTGCACGTTCCGTTTCGGCAGCCCAGGGTTCACCGGTTCAGATCCTGGGTGCAGACATGACATTGCTTGACAAGCCATGCTGTGGTAGGCATCCCACATATAAAGTAGAGGAAGATGGGCATGGATGTTATCTCAGGGCCAGCCTTCCTTAGCAAAAAGAGGAGTATTGATGGCAGTTAGCTCAGGGCTGATCTTCCTCAAAAAAAAAAAAAGAGAGAAGTAGAAATTGAGTCAAACGTTGATAGCTGGGTACCCTTAGAGTGTTCAGGATGCAGTGAGGAGAGCATTTGTATATGGAGGCACCTGGGTCAGTGTATGGAGGTGTGTGCGAGAAAGCATGGTGGTTTTTAGCAAACCACAAGGAGCCTAGATTGAGAGAGGAGTCAGGTTGCTGAACAGTGGGGAGTTTTCACTAAGGTGGGGTCAAGCAGTGGAGGGACTTTCAAACAGCAGATTTCTGCCCATATGTGACTAATATAAAGAAAGCCATATTTCAGAAGATTAATCTGGTAGTGAAGTGCATGGGAGGCGGGGGAGGATAGTTTTCATCTTTAAACAAAGGCTAATTAAGCAGGTGGTGATTTTAAACCATGAACCACAGAATGAGAAGTCAGCCAAGCTATTTACATTGACGGTCCTCTGAAAAATCCCCAAGACATGTCACTCATCTTTTCATCTGTCTTTCCTACCTAATTCATTTCATTCCTCTGTTTTAATTTCTCTCTATTTAATTTCTTGTCAACTGCCTTCTTGGGAATACGTAAAGACAAAGTTATGTTTATGCCATTATGTTTCACATAATTGAGCATTTAATATATGATACTGTCAGTTTTACATATTAAGTTGAAGAGATTTATGATCAAAGTATATGACTATGTTTATGTCATTATGTTTCATTGATTTTGTACCTGGGGATGACCTATTATAGTAAAAATATGACATTTTGCACTTAAAAAAAAGGTTGCAGGATGTTGGGAAATCTTTTACTCTGAGTTCTGCTATTTAGTGTCTTGATAAGGAACTGATTCTTGGTGTGGGGGGCTATTGAACTAACTGTGTTGTTGTTCCATTACTTTGCCATGTGCTGTAAAATGAGTGACAAGATTAACTTAAGAGCTTTTACCTCACAGGTTTGTTTTTATTAACTACAGAGTGTTTGTTTTCCTGCACTCCGTAGTCAAAAATAAGTCTAGCACTGAACAAGTCAGTCTAAGTGTGAAAACGGTCATGTCTTATGTTCCTCACTGTATTTTTATCAGTAGATGTGTATGCAGAGGAGAAAGTTTTCTAAAATATATATGGAGAAAAAATGTTTTGTGTGTCACTTTTTAAAGGTTACAGTCTTCTTCATCCCTTGATGATTCAAGTCCAACAGATTTAATAAAAGATACTCACACTATAAATTGCAGGAATGTAAGTACAATCGTAAGTGATAATATTCATGAAATAAATGAACAATAAAACTTGCTTCTTGTTGTTTATTTCTTTTGAGAGAAGAAGCCATCCTGTAAAAAACTCTTTCAGCCAGTCTATGGTTTTTAAGAGGCCATGTAGACTAGCGGTGACGAGTGACGTCACTGGAAGGATGCTATCTGGGTCCAGGTTGGGACTCTGACACTTACTGCTGGATAACCTCAGGCTTGGTATTTAAACTCTGTGCCTCAGTTTCCTCATCTGTAAAACAAGGGTAGTAATAGCACCAATCTCTTGGAGTGGTGTGTAAATTAAGTGATTTAATACAAAAAAAACCCCCAAAACTTAACAGTGCCTGGTACACAGTATGTGCTCAATAAATGGTGGTTATTATTGTTATTTTAATAGGCTGCAATTCAGTGGATCAAATGTATTCCTTATGGTCTGGAAAAAACTTAAATAATATAAGCTACATGTGTTACATACTATTTAGTTCAATTGAACAAATACTAGCTATTTGAAATGCATCCTTGCATATACAAAAATAACTAAGCATAGTGCTAAGTGTCTGGAAGACTCACATACAATGTAATTCTAATATATCCCAGACAACAAAAAGTTCTAAAGTAGGTGTATGAACTAGGTGGTACGAAAATACAGGAGAAGAGAGAAGTTAAGTCTGACTAGGGACGAAAGGGAACCTGAAGATGTATTTTCACAAATATTGTAAACCTTTTGGTCAGTATTTTAAAATTTCATTCATACACTTAGCAAATGTTTATTGGGTACCCATTTTGTGTCAGACAATACGCTAGGAACAGGGATTTAGGTCATTGTAATACAAAAATCTCCAAGTAATATACGTTACATAGGCATTCTATAGATAAAGTTCATCAACCTAATAAGCCAGTAGGTAGATGATTTTTCATTTTGATGAGCCACATTGGATATTAGACTGTTTGGCCTGTGGCTATATAATAATGTGTTAACTTTTTGGTAAAAGCCTCTGGTTTAATCCATTCCCACTCCAAACCAGTATTTCCCACTGCAGTTTCCTATGCGATCGAGTTTTACCATCATTATGTAAAAACTGAAATAGCCTTTACTTCTTAATCCAAAACTTTACCTTATACTATGTGGCTCCAATTATGGTTATGAAGAATGTGGGCTTTGAAGTCAGGTAGACTTGAATTAGAATCCTGCTCCAACATTTTGGGCAAGATATTAGCCTCTTTAGGCCTCAGATTCCTGACCTCCCAATGTTTTAAACATGAAATGAGATGATGCATGCGAAGTGCTTAGCACATGGTACTCAGTAAATGCCAGCTGCCATATCGATGATGGCGGTGGTGGCACTGCCTGCAGGCCCACGTCTGATAACAGCTAAGAGGTCTTTATTTCATTCAAGTCACTATGTATTATTCTGTCTTTCCAGATGTCAAATAAGGAGTTGATCACACTAAGTCCTTCTGAAACAGGGGAGCTAGAGGCTAAAAGGCAAAACCAGAGCGCTGTGGCTCCCGGCAGTCACCAACCCCTCCTCGGTAAGTTTGCTTCGGCAACTGCCTGCCATTTTGGTTTTCCAAAAACTCTCTTAATCACTATATTTTCAGGCATAGGAGATTTTTAGAGAAGCAAACAGTTTTAAAAGTACGATTTTTCCATTCAAAACCCTAAATGTAATAATCATACTCTCAATTTTAAGATGTATGTCACTTAATGGACCCATCATTGAAAATTCAATTATCAACTGAATCAGTTATGGGTATTGTTAATACATACAATTTAAATAGAGCTAAAGTACTTATATCTAGACAAAAATGTGCATTCTCAAGAACAGGAGTTTTTAAAGGATACCAATCATAAAAAGTTTAAGATGTAATTATTCATTTCAACCGTTTATGCAAGTCCATATCAAGTAAATTGAAATGACACATTTTATACCCCCTTAACTGACACTGATGTAGTGAAAATGTATATTGAAGAGAATCAAAGGACTTGAAGGAAGCTGGATATCTGCTTCACACAGAGCCGCGTATTAGTCATCTCAGATTCTGTTGTACTTTGAAAGATATCCAGAAACCTTTGGTTAATCTGTAGCTATGTTTTAACCCTTGATTTCTAGAACCTCTTCCTTATCTCCAGCTTCAATCTCATTTCCATAGCTCCTCCTTATTTCCTTTTTCAATAACAAATCTGGACACTCCCCCTTTTGTAGGAGTATTTCTAATTTTTGGAAGATGATGCTTTCGTCTCAGCCTCCTCATTTTCAGGTTAAACAAGCACAGTATTTTCTCAAGGCAGATTAGATTTAGATTTCTCCTTCCAGGCTCCATATACCTACGCGTAAACCCCAACCCCTAGCTTCCAACTTTCTGCAGTCTGTACCTTTTAGCACTGTTATTTTCTGTTAGAAAATTCATAGACTAGCTCATTTATGTGCATCAGATGAGTTAAGTGCAATTTATCTGACAGTAGATTGTTATAAAAGTAGGTGACCTATTTAAAAATACATCAGGCTTTTGCAATTTAAGACATGCTTTGCCTTCAAAAATACATTATATGGTATTCCAGCCTTGCTTTTTGATGATGCTCATTTTTTAGCCTCCAGATGTACTTACACAGGCCTGTGTTGTCATTCAATAGGTGAAGGTGCCCAGCTGGATTTTGATGCCCTGTGTGACCATGACGACACAGCCATGGCAGCTTTCATGAATTACTTAGAAGCAGAGGGGGGCCTGGGAGACCCCGGGGACTTCAGTGACATCCACTGGACACTCTAGCATTTGATTTTTAACTCCAAAAATGAGAAACATTTTAAAGCATTTCATTTACAAAAAACTGTATATTCTTCTGTACTGTATTGATACTGTTTTTATCATTCCTATTAATGGTCTGCCAATTTTTATACATTTGCAGCTTACTTTCACAGGGCTATGGGGAAATGTGATTTTTCCTTCAAATAGAACTGCTCAGAGTTTCCTGCAGACACATTTACTCAGTGAAATGGCTTAAAACCCACTAGTCGTTATATTTTTGATAAAATATTTCTAACCATGAATATCACATACATCTTGTCTTGGTTTTGTTTTTATTTTTTGATGCAGTTTGAGTTTGTGTAATGAATATATTGACATTTTCCTTGTGTCTAAGATCCATTTATAATTGATTTCTAATAGTAGATTTGTGTAATTTGGAACATTTCCATTCCTGGTATATTTCCCTAATTGAGGATAGGGTTTATAGATTTGAACATTTAAAGGGACAGTGCAATTTATGGTCATAATCACAACCAATACTGTATTTAGTCTTTGAAGTCTCGCACAGTCCAAAGCCGGGATATTAATGCTCAGTCAAGCACCTTGAGATGGATTTTAAGTTAATTGATTTTTTTATTTAAAATCACAAAAGCTGAGAGTCTCATCTTTGCTTACAGAAAAGGAAAGATTTTGGACCCCAGATCTTAGTGATTTACCTTTGAATAAAAGATTTACCTCTAATGAAGCCACTCAAGATTTTCATTACAGATACGACAGGTTTGATGCTAAAAAGGTGCTTAGTGATGGATTAGTCTTGGAGGAAGGAACACACCCAGGCAGATTAAATGGCTTGTGTAAAATCACAATTAAATTTGTATATTGTTTGATGTGTATAAACCATTTTTTTAATACACATTTGAGAAAGCAATGGTGTCACTGGCTAAGGGATTAATTAAATGACCCAGGAACTAGTCATGGCATTCTATATTATTAGGTAATTATAGTTACTGTTTCCTGTACCAAAGGCAATTATATAAATGGTAAATACATTAAAACCACGAGGCAATGAGAAAGAATTTAAAAACCAATTTTCTAGCTGTAATTAAAAATTTGGAGAGCATTTCTTTAATCAGTAATTAATACAGGCATGGCTCAAATTGAGTCTAAGAATTAAGAATATTTCAGATACTGTATGTATATCTACCTTTTCGAAGATCATACTTCCATAATACCTTCTGTTTTAATAGCTCTTCCTACTGAGTGTGTTCCCGTATGTTCTCTTTTGTGCCCCACAAATTAAAGTAAGATAGGTTAGGAAACTAACGGGGAAACCCTGACACTCAGATGTGTGGTTCAAATCCAGTTTTCTTTCTTGATATGGTACTATAACTTTCCAGCAGATTCCCTCAGAGCCCCCACCAAAACATATTTCTTTAGGTTGTAGGTGACAGATTAGAACTGCCATCAAACACATTCATGGCACATACCAACAGGCAACAACCAAAAGCCTCTGTCCCCTTCAAACGTGACATTTGCAGTAGCAGTGCGGACAAGGATGTATTGGCCTATTGTCTTTAGCTGATACAGTATTCCAGCAATGTCAGAGAGTCAGCACCACTCCTGGTTCTGACACTTGAGGACCTGAGAGACATCCAGGTTTAGAATAAACCAAAGAAAGCCTACAAGGTGGAGGAGATTGGTCTGCAGCAGCCTAAGCATGATAGTTAAGTCTGAAGAAGCATGAACGATCACGTCTGTTCTAAGGCAGGCACAGAGGCCTGCTGACAAATATAATATTTTAGGGGTCTGAACCATTGCAGGTTGGCCTTGACCTCCAGAGTTGACCTAAGCCAGTGGTAGCAGATGGCTACCATTGTGACTAGATGGCTTCAAAAGCAGATGGGGCAAACCCTCCTGATGCAAGGATCTGAGGGGCAGAGTTTCTAGGGGAGGTCCCTGTGGCCTTGCATGCTAGCAGTTCTCTCATTGCAAGAGGGGGGCTTATTCCATAGACCTGAAGGCGGGTAGCCAACTGAATGCCTTGATCCCTCTATAACCCACTTTAATCTTTGTCTGTAGACCTTCTTGCCCTGGAAACAGAATCCAATCCATGCATCGTATGATACTGTAGCTCTCCCAAATTTGGTGTTTTCTTCAAAATGCATTCTATTTACATTTGACTGCTACTAGGAGTGACTTATGGCTTTTTATGGCTTACACTATATTTTTCCTCCTACCAATTAATTTCTTGCATTCTGGTTAAAAATATCTAAAAGTTTAATGACATTATCATAAAAATAGGACTCTAGTTTTTTTGTTTTTGTTTTTTTAAACCCTAAGAATTATACTTGGTCCTCCAAAAATGCGGGTTCTGCATCCGCGGATCAACCACCTGCAGATCGTGGACTATGTTTACCATCCGCAGTTGGTTGAATCTGCGGATGCGGAACCCGTGGATAAGAAGAGCCGACTAAGGGACTTGAGCATCCTCAGATTTTGGTATTCGCGGGGGTTCCTGGAACCAAATCCCCCGCGGATACCGAGGGACGACCGCACCTAAAATAATGTAGCGGAGTGGAAGGACTGCCTACGATCAGAAGAACCCACTCTGCCTAAGTTTATCTGTGTGACCTCAAGGAAGCCATTTAAAGTCTCTGCACCTCAGTTTCCATATTTGTAAAAAGAGGTTTGATCTCTCAGTTTATTTCTAGTTCTGATTCTGTTATTCTAATCCACAGGACTTGAGCGTTAAGAGTCAGAACCTATAACTGCTGTCCAGTGTGATAGCCATTGGCCACATGTGGCTATTGAGCACTTGTAATGTGGCTAATATGTATTGGGATGCACTGTAAATGTAAAATACCAGATTTCGAAGACTTAGTATGAAAAAAATAGAAAATACCACACTAACAATTTTATATTAACTACAATTTCAAATAATATTTTCGATATACTGAATTAAATTAAACAATTTTTTTTTTACTTTTCTAATTTGGCTACTAGAAAATTTTAAATTACACTTGTGGCACACATTATATTTCCATCCAATAGCGCTGCTCTAGAACATTTTATTAAGTGGATATTACTTAAGTAGACCAAAAGTTATACCATAAGTATATGTACCTCTAAATGTTATGGTTTAAAGAATAATTATTTATTGATCCGTGATTCATTACAATCAAATAACTGTGAGCCTCTATCCATGTATCAAATTTAAAACATTTGAAATTAGTAAACTTGAAAATGTTAGATATTTTATTACATGATGGTAATCTGAAATCAAATAAGACGAGGGATATGTTGACACTATGGTAGTCACTAAGTTTGGAAATCCATTGAGAAACAGAATCAGGGAGATACAGAATAGACTTTTGGTAAATAAATGGAATTAGACAAGTATTTAATTACAATGTCACAATGGGAAAAGGCTGTATTCGTTGGTCGTCATAATCTTTGAGGAGTCTCTGTTGAGTCTACGGCACAGGTATATGAAATAGCCACGATCTAGTTATCAGACCGTGTACAGTGGCGTCTGCTTTCAGCTCCTGCTCTAAAGAGGTACCTACCACTCAGGGAGGGCATTGCTGGGCTCTGGAATTGGAGACTCCTGTTTGCCAAGCACAGTATGATGGGCACAGCAGGGCTGACAGACAGGATGGTCAGAAGCCATAAGAAAACCTGCTAGGCGGCCACTAGGTGTCACTTTCCCATTTCTGTAGTGCTTTGTTTTCATTAGATTATTGTTCCCAAGTTCCACAGGGCCTAGGAAAGGCATTTGTGACTTTTGTGCCTAGAATAAGTCTGCCTTTCTGGTGTGAGTTGTTTTATGAGAAATGCTTTTCAAGAGAAGTCTGGGAAGATCCTTCCAATGTAATATAAGAATTTTGGTTTAGGGGCTTTCCAGTAAAAGCTGACTTTAGAAAGAAAACCCATCCAACGTGGAATATGCTTTCTGAACTCATTTGAGAGCGTATGGTGTGTGTATCACTGCTCATATATTCCTGAATTTAGGTTTGTATTTTATACAATTTTTAGCTCTTTTCCAGTTCACTTGCTCTTGTCTATATATTGGTCTTTTAAAAATTTTCTGGTAAACAATGAAAAGAGTGAAATTAAACTATATTTTATAATACTTACTAGTTTGGAGTTTTTTAAATTTAATACATTAAACTTCCTCCAAAAAAGTCTGTTCTTAACTACTTTCTAAAGTGAAAACATAGACTAGGCAGAGGGTCCAGTGTTCTCAAACCACAGGGCAGAGAGGTACATTGAGCTGCAGTACGTTACTCATTTTTGGGTGTGTTCATCAGGGTATGCTAACCGCTGTAACAACTCTAAAATAACAACTCTAAAGTAACAGTGGCTTCACCCAATAAAGCTTTCTTTCTGCTCACATCGCATCCCGTGTCGTTAGCACTGTCTTTCTCTCTGACTCGATCTCCTCCTCCCTCTCCGTGTTGCCCTCTTTCCATCTCTCAGCTTTGCTTTCCTCTAAGCTCGCTTTATCCTCTGGTGGACCCTTTTCCCCATAATGAATGAATGGAGCTCAGAAGCTCCAAGCACGTATTGTTCTTATACTTGGCAATCTCAATGGAAAGAGAGCTTCTCTATTTCCTAGTAATTCGCATAAAAATGTCCATTGATTGGGCCTCTGGATCAACTTGGTTCATATGGATGTTCCAGTGGTCAACAGGCTGGCATATAGAGATTGGCCAGGCTTCGGTCACCTGCCCAAACCTAGATGTAAAAGCATCCTTGAAAGGCAAATGTCAAAAATAGCTAACTGCCTGACAGCATGGGGCCAGAAGAAAGAATGGGTACGTATGCTGAAGGGACAATGGAAAACTTTTAATTCATGATGGTTGATGATTTCCTAGGATTGTGGGTTTAGGCACGTGAGCCTCGAGTCTTTGTTTTTGGTCGGTTTCTTTGGAGGAGTGGCAAGGAATAGCAAGTTATGTCACACGTTTTTAAGCTTGGCTACCTGTTTTGTTTAGTACCCAGCCAGTAGTCACTTTGGAGGACTCTGTCCATTGCTTAAGGTAAGTGTGTGTTGAAAGTCAATAAAGGGTTGTCTGAAATCCTTGCCCAGCTATATGTTTCTGGCATTGGATTTACATTCTCTTAGGCAGTCCTAGTTCTGGGCTGACCATTAGGCAGTATTTCTCACATTTACCCCTATCCAGGAGGAAATATGTTGCATTTAACTTGGGGTCAATACATCAAAATAATTTTTGTGATAAAATATGATTTTTTATGTGTGAGGAAGATCAGCCCTGAGCTAAGCTCCTCTTTTTTCTGAGGAGGACTGGCCCTGAACTAACAACTGTACCCATCTTCCTCTATTTTATATGTGGGTTGTCTGCCACAGCATGACTTGATAAGTGGTGCATAGGTCCGCGCCCAGGATCTGAACCTGCAAACCCCGGGCTGCTGAAGTGGAGTGCACGAACTTACCTACTATACTACCGGGCCAACCCCAATAAAATATAATTTTTAAAAGACAACACTAAAATGAGAAGCTAGATTATGTAAACTTATAACTTAATAAAACTCTTGAATATCTCATTTAATACTTGGTTGAGCGAGCAATAACCCAAAAGGCTTCCCATTTACCATAATTGACATCTGGTCCAATAGCACATAATTACCTGGTTGTTCGATTATTTCAGAGCTCATGGTATTCTGTTTTAAAAAGATCAGGAAAAACAGTTATAGTACCTGAAATATTCATTCTTCATGGAGAAAAATGGATACATATCAAATATGTAAAGTAATCAAATGGATATTATTCACAGGAGAAAGAACACTTCTATTTCTGTGAATAACGTTAGTGGCATATTTTGTTTTTAGTTATTTTTTTCTGATTATAAAAGAACTTTATATTCATTGTTGAAAATTCAGGAATACAGAAGAGTGCTAAGAAGAAAATAAAAATTACTTGTAATTTCACCACCTAGTGAAAAACCACAATTAACACTTGGGTATTTCTTTCTCTTTTTTTCTAGACCTTTATATTCTAATGATTTTTTTTTAATTTGAATCCTGTTTATATAATTTTATTATTCACATATTTTTTGTATGGCAGTTATACATGTATATTGGTTAAAAGTCAGATAGTATTGAAAGGCATAAAATTACAAAAAAAAGAAGTCCAACTTATTGCTAATTCTTGTTCTCCAGAGCAACCACTTACAAGTTTTTTAGGTGATTATGATGTTTATACTTTTATTTCTAAATATGCTTCTGTTGCCACTTCTTGATTTGCCCAGAATGATTACAGAACAGGGAGCCAATAATTTAAATATTGCCCTATTGTGGAGCATTTAGGATATTTGGAAATTTTTACTATTACGGGTAATATGTCACTTATCCTTCTAAAAAAACATGTTTACTATTTTGTTTAGGATGAATTTCTTGAAGTGTAATTACAGATCAAAATTACCCAATTGCCATTTAGAAAATTTGTGTAGTGTTCTTTCCAGAGTTAATTTTTGTGTGGTTTAGTATGTCAATTTTTTTTCTTAATTTTGTTTGCTTTTATGCTAAGAAAAATCTCTCCATCCCAAGATCAAATAAATACACCCCTATATTTCCTTCTAGGTGGCATGTGTTTTCAGAGTTTTACACTAAAGTCTTTGATCTACCTGAAGTTTATTTTAGTCTATAATGTTATCAAAGTCTACTTTTCCTTTCCAAAATATTAGCCACTTGCCCCACAACCATTCAGTAACTTGTCCTTCCTTTTCCCACTGATTTGAAATGTTACCTTTATCATCTGTTAAATTCTTATATATCCTGGGACTTGTAGGTAAGGAGGTAGGTGGTGGTGGGCAGGGAGGGACTTCAGATCTATGAATTAATCTGTCTATTCTTTTACCAGTACCAAACTGTTTAAATTAATTAAATACAATAGAGTTTGATACCAATCTTTCCATCATGTGATAGTGTATCACCTTCTCTTCTGAAGGGTTCAGAGCATGTCACCCCAAAATATGTCTCTTTGGCATATGGACTATTTTGAGCTGAAGACACTGAGAAACAGCAGATACAGGAAGGGCTCTGTGACTCTCCTTTTTCTCCTTAAAAGCAGGATGCAAAATTTCCCCTGAGAAAGGTGCCCTCCTTGCACCAGGAAGAGAAGAACATTCTTATCACCAGACTGGGAGTCAACGCCAAAACGGACCTGTACAAACAGATCTACTGAAATAACCCTGATCTTCCATTAGTTTCCCCGTATATTTTCTAGTCGTTGTCCCACAATTTACTGCCTGTAGCACAAGTCTCTGTCTTGTCACATTTCCACAACGCGGAATTTCTGCATCATTCTTTATGTAAAAAGGTATATAAGGTTTTGGGCCTAATGGCTTCTTCAGGTCTTCATTTTCATTCTGAAGACTCCCATGGACACATAAAAATAATAAAATTGTATGCTTTTCTCCTGTTAATCTGTCTTATGCCAGTTTAATTCTTAGGCCACCCACAGAACCTAAGAGGGTAGAAGTTTTTCTTGCCCTACACTTCTCTTTTCTTATTTTCTGAAAAAATTTTTACATATAAGATAAATTTCTGTATATTTATTTATAAAACACATAGTAAGCATGGTGGTTTCTTCTGACTTCTACATTTGCTCTTTAAGTTTTCAATTTATCAGTCTATATATAGATCACTTAAGTCTGAATTACACTATGTTACAACTGAGTCAGGAATGATGCTGACATGTTTAGCATTCTTCTAAGCTTTTGTTAGACAGTCACGCACCACATAGTGATGTTTCGGTCAATGATGGACCACATATATGACCATGGTCCCATAAGATTAGTATCATACAGCTTGGTGTTTTAGGCTATATCGTCTAGGTTTGTGTAAGTACACTCTATGATGTTCACAAAATCACCTAACGACGCATTTCTCAGAACCTGTCCCCGTCATTAAGTGATGTGTGATTGTATAGAGAATTCTAATTCTAATACATTTATTCTTGGAACAATCTAATGCTATGCCTGTACTTTCTTGAGTTGAAGTTCTGAGGGACTAATAAGCCTAACCTTTATTAAAGCTTTACTATGGCAGACATAGTTCCTAAGCCTTCTACATGAATTAAGCATCCTAACAACCCTGATGATAAATGCTGGTATTACCCCATTTTACATATGGAGACACTGAAGCTCACTGAGTTAGATAACTTGACAAGGTGACCCAGACCCGAGGAGCCCAGACTGGTGCTCTTAACCCTGCATTTTGGCAAACCCTTCATTTACTGTGGGACTCTCTGGGTCTTTCTACCTGCACCCCCTCCCTTAACTCAATGCACAATTTCTCTTTAAAGTATTTTTTTTAAATATTAAAAAAGTAACATAAAGTTTACTGTCTTAACCAATTTTAAGTGTATAGTTCAGTTGTGTTAACTATACTCACATTGTCGTACAACAAATCTCTAGATCTTTTTCATCTGGCAAAACTGAAACTTTATACCTATTGAACACCAACTCCCCGTTTTCCCTTCCTCCCAGCCCCGGCAACATATTTAAAACAAAAACGAAAAGAATTTCATCGTGTCTTCAAACTAGGAATGAAAATTTCAGAAGTGTGAGGAGAAAGGAAATTCTAAAACACGGTTTGATTTTTAGTAATTCTTTTAAACCAAGATGATTAAAAAGAATGAAGAACAAAAGGGATGATGTCATTACTAAGAGAATATCTACCTGGTATTTTATACAAATGAGGAACCTGATCACTCACGCCCACATCCCAGCTCCTGGCTCTCATTTTAACTCTAGATTTTTATGTTTACATAGATACAGTTTTGGTGAGCATTTATTAAATGGGTTCTTTTCAAGAGATCATAGAAAATAAGTTATTAAAAATCATAGCAACAGTTGCTGTGAACATACAAGATGGCAAAACATCTTAAGGCTTAACGTTTTTTACTCTCAGATTTGTGTGATCACAGGAATACCTGTTAAAAGAACTAAGTTGAGCCTTTCTCTTACAGAGTAACATACTATATGAAGCTGAAACAAAGAGCTAATTTCTTAAACATAACCTAACACAGAAAGAGAATTCATAAAAAATAAATGTAAAAATTCACAGTGGTTCTCAATATGTGGTCCCAGGATAATTAATCTCAGC